AGCATGAACTTTCATATGTGAGATCTTACAGCATGTAATGTAATTTTTCCATGTAATGATAGGCTAAGAACATTTTTCTATGTTCTAAATAGTTTTAAAATATTTTTTAAGTCTGCAAGTATTCCATCTTTGAGGTGCCCCAGAATTTATTGAACCTTAGCATTTTCCCCAATTTTTTACTGTTCTAAACAGGCAACAATGATTATTCTTATCTGTTTATCTTCCTTAGAAGTCATTTCTATGGGTCACATTGCTGGTTCAAAGTGCATATCCCAGCACTGTCCAGTAGAGACATAATGCAAGATGGAAAAATCTAAATTTTCTAGGAGCTGTATTTATAATGTGATTCTAAAATCTCTGGTTGCCACATAAAAGAAAAAACAGGTGAGATTAATATTAATAATTTACTTAACCCATTATATCTAAAATATATAATCAATATAATCAATTTTATAATCAATGTAAAAATTACTGAGACTGATTCTTTTTGTGTGTGTGCTGAGTCTTTGGAAGCTGGTGTATGTTTTATCTCAGCTTGAACTCACTGCCTTTCAATGACTTAGTAGCCTCATGTGGCTGGTGGCTGCCTATTAGGCAGCGCAGGCATATATGTTTTCTTGTTTAAGCTTTTGATACAAAGTGACAAGTCGCCTCTCACTCCTTCCCCTCCAGGATGTGTTGATTAAACTCCCATCGGCCTTGTGGAAGGGTGTGCATTTCCCCTAGGTGGAAATCTAAAACCAAAGGTAAGGACATCCAGATGTCAGGCACAGAAGCAGTGTCTCTGTCCTTCATCCCCATGGCAACTGTGAGCTCAGAGGGGCCTGGAGAAAGGGCTGGTTGAGGAGCAGGGAAACTGGAAAAGCTTCCATGCTGGGAACCCTCAAGGGGAACAGCAGACAGAGCTGTGCATGGTCCTGGGCGTGTGATGTGGGCACAGGTGTACCAGGCCTGCAGAACAGGCCCTCTGGGGGTTGAAGCTGAGGGTGTGTGGGTGTTCTGTAAGTCAGTTGATGTGGCCCAGGAGCCTTACCTAAGCTGAGCAAGCCTCTGGGGCTTTGGGGACCAAAAAGAGGGGATCAAAGGTAGAAGGTTGTCTTCCTAATCCCTCTGCTGTCAGGCAGGACAGAAGGGTGTGCACACACGTGAATGTGCACTGTATGTATGTGCACCTTGGATGCCATTAGCTGGGAAGTGTAGAGAAACCTGGTCGATGATGATTTCTCGTTTATACACCTCTTCCTGTCTGTGTGGCCTTGGGCAAGTCTGAGTCCTCCCATCTCTAAAATGGGGTAAAAGCATACCTACTTGATAGGATCAGTGAGAGGGTGATGTGAGCCAAGGCTTAAGAAATGCTCAATATTGACTATTGTGATGGTTGTGCTTATGCATGTAATTTATTTTTTAATGGCTTTATTAAGAGAGAACTCACTATCATTTCACCTATTTAAAGTGTACTCAGTAATTTTCAGTATAATCAGAGTTGTGCAACCATCACCACGATCTAATTTAAGGACATTTTCATCCCCTCTAAAAGAAACTTAGTACTTCTCAGCAGTGACTCCCCATTCTCCTCCCCCGGCTTCTGGCAACCACTGGCTACTTTCCAGTTTTGCTGGATCTGAGCATTTCATATAAACAGAATCTTCCACTGCTGCTGGCCTTTCAACTTAGCCTCAGGTTTTTAAGGGTACTCATCTTTAATGGGGGTTGTGTAGGAGCCCGTTTGTGATTTCTCTTCATGATTTCTCAGCAGATCAGTGCTTTTTTCTTAATCTGAGGGTGACAGCTGGACTGCCTGTAATCACCCAAAGGAAGGCAATGTGGGGTGTCAGTAAAAATAAAAAAGAACATAAATCAAAGCCACACATGTTCTATCGGACAAATTGAGTCTAGGGCCTCTGTTTGCTCTTCTGCAAAATGGGAATCGTGCGTCCGTCACAGAGTCATGGGAAGGATTAAACAAGAACACGTGTTCCTGGGACATGGTGCTCAGCCAACGAATGAGTCATCCAGTAACTGTAATTTTGAGATCCCTCGGCTGTCCCACATGGGACCATATTGTGTGCTTAAAATATTCATTACCTGACGAATGTATATTATATATATTAGAGAAAATTTGAAAAATATAGATGAATCACAGCAAAACAAAGTCTTTAATCCCAATATTGAGAGACAATTGTTATTATTATTTCGGGGAAAATAAGCCTGGATTTTCTTTCATTATTTATATACATTTGTATATATTTATTATTTTCCCCAGTATGAGGTCATGCTGTGTTTATTGCAAGCTGTTTTTAGACAACATTATACGGAATGTATTTTCATCTCACATACCCATCTGTCACTTCTAAAGGCAGCATACTTTTCTTAATTGGCTGAATGTTCCATACAGTGTTTGACCAACCTGCTTTTGGTGGGTATTGAAATTGAGTCCAATTTTCAAGCTATCATAAAGAATGCAAAGGTGAACACATATATGTATTCATCTTTTTGTACTTATCAGCTTTATTTTTTCAGGATAAATTTCTACCAGGTAGAATTACTGAATACTTCAAGTAACCCCCCCTTTTTTTATGGTATCACATACAGAAGCGTGAATTGCTCATAAGCATAGTTCCATGAGCATGCTGAGAGCACATCTGTAGCACCTGGACCTGGACCAAGTGATTCCCAGTACCCAGAAGACCCCTCAGGCCCATTCAAATCACTGTTCCTGCCTCAAGGGCAGCCGCTATCCTGCTTTCTTTTCTTTTTTAAAATGAAGACTTTATTATTATTGTTATTGTTATTAGAGCAGTTTTAGGTTCACAGTGAAATTCAGGGGAAATTACGAAGAGTTCCCCTGTGCCCTCCACCCCCACACAGGCACAGCCTCCCCACTATCAATGTCCCCCACCAGAGGGGAGCATTTGTTATAATCTATGAACCTACAGTAACATGGCATTATTACCCACAGTCCATGGCTTACACTGGGACTCACTCTTGGTGGTGTGCATTTTATGAATCTGGATGAATGTATAATGACACGTGTCCATCATTACAGGATCATACAGAATAGTTTTCCTACCCTAAAAATCCTCTGTGCTGGCCTTTTCCTCCTCCCTAACCCCTGGCAGCCATAGATCCTTTTACTCTCCATGGTTTTGCCTTTTCTAGACTGTCATGTAGTTGGAATCATGTCCCTTTTCTATCCTGATGTCTAACACTGTAGATGAGTCTTGCCTGTTTTTGAACGTTATTTAAATGGAATCATGAAGTATTTGCTCTTTCATGTCTGACTTCTTTTGCGTGTTATGTTTTTGAAGCTCACCCAAGCCAAGCCATTGCACCGACTGTCGGCTCTTTCCATTGCTGGATACTATTCCATTGTTTGAATATACCACACACTTTAATACTTTGGTTCGGCCATTGCTGGGCATTTGAGTGGTTTCCAATTTGGGACAATTCAGATCTTACTGCTGTGAACATCCATCTACACATCTGATGAGCACACATACGCATTTTTGTTGGGTTGTGAGTAGGAGTGGAACTGCCAGATATCCTTGCTGACGTATGTGTGATACAAATGGCCGTATCTTCTCCCAGTCATTACCCAACCTTTCTGTCGGTTTTTATATCTGTAATATGGGGCTATAACCCCCTCCAGGATTCATGAGGAAGAGATGAGCTAATGGATGTATGGATATGTGGCCCTGGTACACAGCGAACCCTCAGTCGGGTCGGCACTTCAGTTTTCTCTAGCCAACTTTATGGCTTCTCGGGAGGCTTGAGAATTCTCAGCCGCAGACTCTTGAAGAGATCACAGCTTGAGCCTGAGGGGCAGTGGAGGGGGTAGTGGTGGAAGGAGCAGAAGGAGATGACCAGTCAGTCCAAGAAATTAGCTTCCTCTGGAACAGGAGAAGAAAAGGTTCTTAAGGGATGGGAATGCTGGGATTATCGTGGTGGCTGATCGCCGCCAGCCCACTTGCTGATTTGGAAAGGTTTGTCTGAACTGTACACAGTCCCCCAGGAACCAGACCTAAAGGCCTTGAACACCAGGATATTCTGGGCAAATGGGCGGTATTGTGTTAAGGGTAGGCTTTGGAGTTGGGTGGCCTTGGAACTGAATTCCCAGCTCTACCACTCACCAGTTGTGTGATTGTAAACACTCTGAGCTGCAGTTTTCAAATTATAAAACAGGAAAGAGTATCTCCTCACAGGTTTGTGTTGAGGATGGAGAAGATGCACATAAGTGTCTCATACTCTGCGTTTCAAAAAAATAACCACTCACATGTGAGTGGAACCCTTACAAAAGCTGGAATCCACAAGGTCCACTCTTAGCTGTGGCAGACACTGGGCCCACCATCAAAAACTGGTGATGAAAGGAAACTCTCCTGTACTTCGGTGTCCCAAAACTGTTGGGAGAGGCTACATACGGTGTCCACGGCAGTGCTCATCCAGGTTCCCGATCTTTTGCCTTCCCTTGCCTCGCTGCACCAGTCTCCTTACCCTTCTCACTGCAGGTGCCCCAGATCACTTCCTGCCCCCGCCTGAATCACTTTGCCCCACCCCTCCTCTCTCTCTGCATACGTGATGAAGGAAAACCCCATTTCCCAGCTAGGCAAGCACGCATCTTCAGGAGTAGGGGAGGAAGGCAGACAAGCAGATATGATCTCTTTAGTGGGCTGGGGAAGGGGAATGTGACCTAGGTCACCTTTGTCCTCTCCCAGGAGCTGCTGTTAGTAGTAATCATTGTATTATTGCTTGGTGGGGGCGGGGGGCGTCTTAACTAACCACCCCGGAACTGCACTTCCAGGAAGAGTGGGGACCCCCTCGTGTGCCTCTTCATCTGGTGCATGCTTTCTTTCGCCCTGGTGGGAGGCAGCATAAGAATGAATGGACCTGGGAGGATGGGGATGAGGCCGGCGAATATCATCAGCCTCCATCTGGCAGCTCCAAGTCCAGTGGTCAGTGATGTCCTCTCTGTCTCTCTTTTTCTCCCCCGCCTCCCTTCTCAGTCTCATCAGACCAGATCGAGCAGCTGCACCGCAGGTTTAAGCAGCTGAGTGGAGACCAGCCCACCATTCGGTAAGATCTGCTGCTGCGTTTGGGTGTTGGGCGGGTCCGTGGCCCTTGGGGATTTTCTCTTTCCATTTCTTTCTTTCTCTGAGTGCTGAGTGACTGGAAAAAGCCCCTGGGTTGCCCCACTTTCGGAGGTCAACTTGTAATTTTCATTCTTCTCCCTTCTAGACAAGTTGTTCTTGCTAGGAGCGCGAGCGCCCCATCTGTTTCTGTCCAGATCAGGAAATTATGACTAGAGTGAAGACAGGGCCAGGGATGAGGGGCCAGTCAGCCTGGCCTACTGTACCCTGACCTCCTCAAATGGGACAGGCCCCTGGCCTCTGTGCTTGGAGTCCCAGACACGTACTGTGCACCTGTTGAATGCCAGGACTGTGGCCAGTGCTGGACGTCCAAGGATGCATCAGCTGTAGTGCAGCCCGCATCAGGGACTGAGCCGTTCTCGTGAGGCCCCGTGCCTTGAGTATGCTCCCTCTGGGCTGTTAGTTCCAGTCTCAGGCAAGGTGGTGCGTGGCAGCCTTAGACTTTTGTCAAGGAAAGTCACCATCCTACATTGCGCTTCTAATATTAATTTTTAGAGCTGTATAGGTTCCTTTTTTCTGGGTAAAAATGCCTTAAATTGTGTTCCTTAGCTTCAAGTTGAACTACGGCAGTTTCCAACATAAAATGTACAGTACTCTATCTACCACGAACTTTCTAACAGATGTAGTTTCCTAAAATAAACATTCAGGGTCTCAAGGTTATAGTCTTGGAACTTTAAAACAAACCTTTTATAGTTCAGGAAAACTTCCTTCTTCTTAGTAAACAGACTTGGATTTCACCAGAGTTTTATGGGAACTGACAAATATCCAGTTTCTCTTGTCTGTGTAAACAAAGGCATGGTGCTGGCCCAATGCGTTGCATTCTCAAAGCAGCCATTTCCAGAGCTCAAATTCTGGTGGCCTCAATTTGTATTCAAGGCGTATTTAAACACAATCAAAATTTACACCTTTTAACTACACGTCTTACCTGCTAATCCCAGCGAAGGAGAAAGCAGAGCCCAGAAAAGTCACCGGGCTTCTCATTGGCTCTGGTGGGGGAACTGTCACGTGCCCAGGTCTGAGCTAATCACTGTGGCCAGGGCGTGGAAATGCAAATTGTCATTTCCCAGAACCGTGGGGACCTGGGGCTGGGTCTTCCCCGGACGACTGTGTGGAAGCACAGTGGCTTCCCAGGGAAAGGTGGGCCCCCTGGGGCCGTGGGCTGAGGGTGGGTGCAGGGTGGGAACACCTCAGCAGGGCATCTTGACGTCTAACGGGAGGTGACACCTGTGCATGCTGCATATGGGAACTTGGGCGTGTCAAGGGCATGTGCTCTGTGTCAGCTGCTCAGTACCTACGCTGGTGGACGGGGCTCACAGTGGGGGATGTGGGAAGGTGGGGCTCCCTTTCTCAAGGTAGTTTTCCAGAGAGCTGTGCCCCCTGCCTTGTAACAAGCTACCTGGGGCTTCTTGTTGTTATGGGTCTGGGGTCCATGGGACTTGGCTGGGGAGAGGCTTTCAGTCCAAATTCAACATGTGTTTCATTTTCAGACTTGAGGGAAGCAGAGGCAAAAGTCAGACTTGGGAACCAGTTGTATTTGTCTTCCATGTCCCTGGCTGGGTGACTGGGTCAGCTGCTCTGCTTCTCTGAGCTTGTCGCGTCACCTGTAAAGTGGGCGTGGTCACGAGGGTTTGATGGGAGCACTGGAGGTGAGTGGGTGCCTGCAGAATGACTCTGCTCTGAGCTGGGTTCTTGGTGTCTGGCCCGAGGGGCTGCCATCATCCCTCCCGTCTGTCGGGTGGTTCTGGAGATGCCGGAGCAGGGGCCGTCTAACCCTGGGGGTGGGGGCTGGGGGGGCACCGGTGCTCTGTGAGGAGGCAGCAACTGCGGTACCGTGGGAGGCCCCGCACACTTTGAGGCTCTGGCATCTGAGCTCTGCATTGCCCAGCTGCCCCTCGTGGGCCTTTGCAAAGGATGAGTTGAAACGGGGTACTCTCTATCAGTTCCTTCCAGCCTGAGTGTGCGTGCACATCACCGGAGAAAATTGCTTTAAAAAAACACGCAGATTTGACTTAAGATGGTGGGGTGGGCGGGGCTGCCCAAGACTGCATTTCTAACAAGCTGCAGTGTGCAGGTAGCAAGGCCCTGGGGCAGACAGCACAGCACCTGGAGCATAAGTGCTCAGCAAGCCCTGTTTCGTTTCAGTCCCCCAACGGGCTGAGCCCCACCGGGCTCTCCCATCACCCGGCCTCAGACGTCAGTCAGACCGTTCAGTCTGTCCCACTCTCCTCAAGGCCAGCCTCCCCCCTTTTCCTCATGTCTCTCTCCAGCTAAATCCAACACATCTGCCAGGTCTTTGCAGAAACAGAGCTTCCTCAGGAAGGTCTGCCTTGGTGCACCCGCCTGGCAGACTCTCCAGGCTGCTTGACGTCTTCTCTGTGGCAGTCACAGATTTGTCCTCACAGGAGGTGACAAACATCTGTTTCTGCCTCCCACCAAGATGGTGGGCGTGAATGTGCACGAGTCATCTATCTTGTTAAAACACAGGTTTTAATGGGTGGGACTGGCTCAGGCCCGAGACTGCATTTCTGACAAGCCTGGGCGGTCCTGGTCAGGTCGGCCTCCCTAGCACAGAGGGCAGGCCCCAGGAGGCCCTCAGGCTTGAATGGACGGGGGCTGCACCCCCGCGGGCCCTGAGGGGCTGTGTGCGGGCTTCTGCTTCCCACTCTTCATGGGCTGGGCCAGGGCTCGGGAATATGAACTGCTGGCTCTGCCTGCCCACCCGGGACCCTGTTCACCCTTCTCCTGCCCACACACCCACTCCAGGACCACCGCACACCTCGCCCTGTCCTCACTGCCCTCATAGAAGCCCGGAGAGTCTGCGCAGACCCAGTGAGCAGCCTCTGCTCCCCAGGCCTTGGGGCTCCCTGCTGCCCTCAAGTCATGTCCATGCTTTGTGCCTGGGGTCCACCAAGGCCTTCAGATGCTGGTTGCTGCTTTGCTGAGGTCTCGTGTAGACACCACCTCCTCCGAGATGCCCCTCCCATGCATCCCCTGAGCCTCCTTGTGGGGATCCCCACTTCCAACATCCACCGCTGGGAATTTTAACTGCCTTCCCACCGCCTCCCCTGACGGACTGCTGGCCCCTTGCGGGGCAGGAGCTGGGTCTGTTTTTTCTGCCCTGGCCCTAGTGCTGAGTCGGGCTTGTAACATAATAGGTGCTTTGGGAGCAGTTGGTTGAATGGATGTAGTGAGAAACAGGTGTAACTAGGAAAATTCATTATAACCCTGAAGCGAGGTATAGGTGAGACCCACTGTTAACGGTACTTCCCACAAAGGTGGTAAAAGAATTTCTGGTAAAAGAATTTCTCTGGGGCCTGGCACATAGGAACTATTCACAAATATAAGCTATTAATATTTGAGCATGTTTTAAGTGCTGCTTAGCAGGGGCATGTTACTACAGTCCTATAAGCCCCACAAGAAGTGGTAGGAACGCCTGTTCTCCCTATTTTACAGATAGGACAGTAAGGCTCAGAGAGGCCTTGTACCTGGCCTCAGGTCATACAGCTCATTAATGGAGGAGCTGGGGTTTGAACCCAGAGCCCTCTAAGGCAGCTATGGGCATTGCCTTGACTCGCCACGCAACCTCTGAGGACCACAGGCCCCCTGTTCTGTCCGAGGACCCTCTGCCCTTACCCTCCTTGGGTGAGGGTGAGTAATTCCTGTCACTGCAGCCTCTGCTCCTGCATCTCTCAGTTTCTGCTGGGGGGTTAGTGTCAGCTGCAAACGGTGACAGCCCAGCCGGAAGGAGGTGACAGACCACAGCATCTTATGCAAACAGGCCTGCAGGCCAGGCTTCTTCTCGGAAAGGCTTTGCCTCATCCTAATCTGCCTTCCAGGGCCTGGAGAAGGGCCACTGGGCAGCTGTTTGTGTCTTCCCGGCTTTCCTGCCTATCCTCCTGGGGCAGAAGGGATGAGTGGCCCTGGGCTGCGGTCTGGTGCCCAGCTCTGTCCCCACTCTGCCAAGGGTTTCCTGAGTGACCCCCACCTGGGCCTACAGTCTCTGATGTTCAGGCACGTCCAGGGGACCATCCAGGAGGCCCTGGGCTTGGCTTTCCAAGCAGGGAAAGGAGCTTCATTTCTCTAGTGTCAGGATTTGTGAAAGGCATTGACTGGGGTCCCCCAAGTGAGACCCTCCATAAGGGGTGTGAGCTGCGGCCCCATTGGCCTCACCCCACCCCCACTATCAGAGAGCAAAGGTGCCCCAGAACTTATTATTCCAAGGAGGGCTTTTGAGTATCTCAAGTGCAAAAGGTGCCTTAAAAGTGACTGCAGGCTTTATACATAGACTGATAAGATGTGTAAATTGCATTTAAAAGCGGAGTCTGTGACTTTGAAAAATTGGTTATAGCTTAAAAAAGATCCCAAGGTAAAAACTGCCAAAATCAATTTTAATTTTCACTTACCATTTCCCACCCATTTTTGGCTGGTCCTTTCTCTCTGCAAACCATCTAAGGACATTCAGCGGCGGGCTTACCTTGAGGCCTTCAAAGCAGATATGTGAGGGCCCCTGTCTGTATGGGTTCCTTTTGAGGCCCAGCCCCTGGCTTTTTTAAGTCCATAATTCTGCATTCTTTTTCTTTAGGAGGGTCCCCCAGATTTTTATTTCAGGACTCCCAAAGCCTGAATCCTCCTGGACCACAAAGCACTGAGTTCTGAGGCTTCTTGGTGAAATGCTTGAATAGGAAATGGTCTTCTGGATGCATTTATTGAGTTCCTGCTATGCAGAGACTTCTGTCCTAGCAGGGAAGACTCTCCATAAGTAAACCCATTAAAAGATACTAATTTGAGATGGTGAGAAAAATGCAATAATGGCTTCTTGCATTTTTTCTTCCTCTGTTTCGGACACTTTACTGGTGGATGTCTTTTTACTTCCTCATCGCACCCTGGCAGGCTCACCAACACCCAGAAATAGTCGCGGTGGCAAAC